CTAGTTGACTGAGGTCAACTATTAACCAATCAACCTAAGCTGTTACATATGCATCTGCCACGTTCAACTCAAATAACAACTATTGTATTAAACTTTTATGTGTTAACTGCGAGTTACCAACTGAAATATGTTATTCTAATAACAATTGCGATTACAGTTTTAAAAGAATTTAGTTTTTGAAGTTCCAGAGCAATGTGCAAACTATCGAAACGATGCATGATGGAACAAAAAGACAAAAGCTTAGATTATGAAAAGACGAAAATACTTTCTACCTCACTTTTTATCACCTTCATTTCCCACATAATTCTTACATTTCACTTTACTTGTACGTTCTGCATTAAAAATGATGCATTTATTTAATAGCTGAATTCATAAGTCGATTAAGCTAAACCAACATGGAAAATCTGAAGGCACTCTTCGTTTGCTAAATCGCAAAAGGCACTGTTGAGTGGAATAGAAATGAAATGATAACTGTTAATTGGTTGGCTCACGTCAAACCTAAATATTCGACAACTTATTGTCAGAGTCAACCTCGCTTTCTTTCAGGCTATGGAATGCCCTGGTGTAGTCCTCCAGGATTCAGTGCTAAGACCTCTTCTTTTCTTGATTTATATAGACAACCTTTGTAAGATCCATTTTGAGTGCCTCGTGTGTTTGTGAAAATCCCTCCATGTATATACTTACACTTTGTTCCTATTGATTCTTTTAGTTGTACATTGTTAACTTTTTGACTACATTTGAATTGTTAATATTTGTATTTTATTATAGTTTCGTTTTTACTACACCTTCACCAATTCCCCATGTTTCTTCCCGGGCTGCACTTATGTTGTTTTACTTTATACTAAGTCTGGGCGGTAGCCATTTTGGTTTATCCTTGCTTTTGATTGCTTGACCTGTGTTGACTGGAATTGTGCATTTTGGTTGTGAATTGAAGCACTCTTCCAGAATTGAAAACACTCTGTGTTATAGAGCGACCAATTATTACCTTTTGAACGAATCTGTACGTGATCTATCCAGACAGGATAGAATAACATTTATTTGTGGTGATTGGTAATTTTCTTGCATCTTCTATCAACTTCTTTATTTATTGTAATTTAGATTTAATTGATTGGACAATCATTGGTTGAATAGCCGGGTGATAATATTTGTTTAGGTAATGATTTACATTAAATTTATTATGAATTATAGAACCGCTAGTTACCCGATTACTTGTTCTGATTTCGACGGGAAAGGGCGCGTGTCTAAAACCCCCTGTCGGCTATTCTTCAACATCCAAACCGTAGTTTGGATCCTACAACCTTCCACAATAGATATCGCCAGACTTATTATTTTTCGCTGATGATGTGAAACTTTGGATAGAGATACGCATCCAAGCGGATATACTGGCATCTCAGGAGGATCTGACTCGACTTCAAAGTTGAGCAGACTTTTAACACTTCAAAGTGTTAAGTGGTCCATCTGATACATGATAAAGACTACAGCTACAACTTCGGTGACTCCCCCCTTGAGGTATCCCAAGTTGAAAAAGATTTAGGAGTGCTGGTGCCCTACGATTTGAAGTCTCACGATAACTGTGACAAAAATGCCTTTCGAGCAAACCTCACACTGGTGATACTGAGGAGCATTTTTGGCCACTTTGACGGAAGAACTTTCTACACATTCTCCACAGTTTCATTCGTCCCAATTTACAGTACAGAAACAGTATTTCCTCCCTCACTCCAAAAGAAAAAGGACACTCTGTAATATATTCAACGGCGAGCCACGAAATCAGCTCTTGGACTGAAATTGAAGTCTTATGTTGAGAGCCTTAAACCACTCAACCTTTACCCACTGGAGTGCAGGCGTCCTAGAGGTGACTCTCTGATGGCTCACAATGTTCCCAACACCTCTAGACATTCCGTTAAACACATACATAAGTTTAGCCTCGACACAATCCTAAGGGGTAACACCCAGAAAATGGGGAAACAACACAGCAGAACGGACCGTAGACACAAATTCCACTCCTGAAGAGAAGTAAAATGCTGGAATTTCCTGTCAGCTGATTTAGTCAAAACGACGTCCCAGGAGTCGTTTAAACGACAACTCGACAGATGCTTAAGGAATAAGGATAATGTAGCGGTAAATAAATCCCTAAAATAAATAGCTCTGTAAGTTTTCGACATTGGATGCTGACCACATGTTTTAGTGGACTCATCTAGCTGAAGGCGCTCGGTCAGACATCCGTACCAGATCACGTGTGGCAACGCTGTGCTTAACATCTAGCGCAATCGCTAGCCAGATTAGATCAGAGAATTCCGATATATTGGTAATCGCCAAACACACCCTCCCGATCTCCTCGACTCTGTCTTTTGATTTCTCTCGGTGGGTACAAATTATACTAGAGGGTGTTGCTGGTAAAAGCGTTGTCAAACACTGAATACCTGCGTCATCCTCATTGGTGAGACCGACGTGATCTGGTACACCTAATTGCAACTGTGAGTCTGTTCCTTTTTGGGATTTTTATATATTATTGCCCTATTATTTTTTTAAGTTTTATACATTGTGATATTTTTCCCCGTGTCTCAGGATATCTATATTTTTCCCTCGTGTTCTCGTACTTAATATTCCCCTATGATCGGCAACTCGTTGGAGAAACAGTCAGACACCATCGCGCTTAGACTGTGTATTCACTAACGAAGAATTCCTAGTCGACAACCTCTCAATCCTGGCTACTCTGGGAAAGAGCGATCATGCCGTCATAGCCTTCAGTTTTGTCATCGAAACTAAGCTAAGTTATCCCAACAATAATTTGCGTTGGAATTTTAAACGGCTGAATGTGCCAGCTCTACATGACTATCTACAACAGGTGGTTTGGGATGTTCACCCTCAACTCGATGTGGATGGTCATTGGGACTTCTTACTGCACACGCTCTTATGTGCTACAGACCATTCAGTTCCTCAAACGGTTCCCAAAAGCTGCAAGCCACCTACAGTAATCAAGAACCGTACCCTTCGCCTGCTAAGCCGCAAAAGGCACTGTTGGGCAGAATACAAACGAACTAATAACGATGGAGCGTATAGGCAATATAAACATATCAGGAACATATGCACGAAGGCTATAAGAGAAGACAGGCTTCAGTACCAAACAAAGCTTATGGACAAATTCGCCTCTAACCCTAGAAGCCTATTCCGTTATGCAGCCTCTCTTCGTCAAGCCAAAACAGGAGTTTCTCAACTGCTAGGTCTTAACGGCCCGACCAGCAATGATGGCGACGCCGCTAACCTTCTGGCGGCACATTACTCTCAAACATTTCAACCGGCTGACATCAACTTTATTGACGACAGTTTCATCTGCAATTCCACAGGACTTTCTGAAGTGGACCTAAGCGCTGACTTGGTGTTCCGGAAATTGCAGCACTTAAGACTTGACACTTCTCCTGGCCCGGATATGGTTCATCCTGCCATACTGAGAGAGGCAGCCTCAATCCTGGCAACGCCGCCTAGCGTGATGTCTTCACATTCGCTTAGCCGAGGCAAATTACCGGAAAATTGGAAGTTGGCTCACATCACACCAATTTTCAAAGGTGGTCGACGCAATGAACCTTCAAGTTATCGCCCGGTGGCTCTTCTGTCACTACCTTCAAAACTCATGGAGTCCCTGATATGCGACGGTTTAAATGACTATCTACTGTCCTTAAACTTCTTCTCACCCCAACAGCATGGTTTCAGGAAGGGTTACTCTTGTATAACCAACCTGCTGACTGCGGTGGACAGATGGACAAGCATCCTCGATCGCAAGGGAAAGGTTGATATCATTTACCTTGATTTCTCAAAAGCTTCTGATAAGGTTAACCACTCGTGTCTTATCAATAAGCTCAAACGACTAGGTATCAAACCACCTCTAATCGATTGACTTACTTCATGCCTAAAAAATCGACACTTTAAGGTTAGGGTTAATTTCACTTTATCTCAAGCTATGGAATGTCCTAGTGGGGTCCCCCAGGGCTCAGTACTGGGGCCTCTTCTCTTCTTGATCTACATAAATGATCTTCCTTTACAGGTAACGTCAGACTTATTACTTTTTGCCGAGGACGTGAAACTTTGGAGAGAGATACGCAACCAAGACGATATACAGGCACTTCAGGAGGATCTGACTCGACTTCAAAGTTGGGCAGACGATAACGGACTTACCTTTAACACTTCAAAGTGTAAAGTAGTCCATCTGCGACATGTCGCAAACTACAGTTACAACTTAGGAAACTCCTCTCTAGTAGTATCCCAAGTCGAAAAAGATTTAGGAGTCCTGGTGCCCCATGATTTAAAGTCTTACGATAACTGTGACAAAAATTCCTTCCGAGCAAACCTTGCACTGGTAACGTTGAAGCGCATTTTTGGACAGTTTGACGGACGAACTTTCCATACAATCTTCAATAGTTTCATCCGTCCCCATTTAGAGTACGGAAACATAGTACTCCCTCCCTCACTCCAAAAGGACAAGGTCACTTTGGAGCGTATCCAACGGCGAGCCACGAAATCAGTTCGAGGACTCAAATCTAAACCTTACAAAAAACGCCTCCATTCACTAGACATTTACCCATTAGAGTATAGGCGTCTTAGAGGTGATTTATTAATGGCTTATAGTATTCTTAACACTTCTGGACATCCTCTTAAACACCTACTTAAGCTTAGTTCGAATAATAACCTAAGGGGTAACACCCAGAAACCGGAAACACAACATAGCAAAACGGAATGTGGACACAACTTCTACTCCTTAAGAGTTGTCAAAAGCTGGAATTCGCTGCCGGCCGAGCTAGTCCAAGCGACTTCTCAGGAGTCCTTCAAGAGGCAACTTGTCCTATTCTTACGGACCAAGGATTGCATCACACTATGATTTGCCAATTTCTTTTCCTCTTTTATTGTTAACATACCTAGGTTCCTGACTGGAGGATTTCGTGATCCCCTGCTACTAGACACGGAAGCCTGTTAAGCGAAAGCTTCTTCTATTCCGTCCAAAACCATTTGAACCATTTGAACAGCGCCGAACACAAACTCTGGCCTTGTCATGTTTGGATTCTCAGCTGCTGTGAGTGCTAAGTGCTGAGTGGTAGTACAACCCGACTACTTATATTTAAAAGGTCTCTTGATTGTGTGAAAAGGTTTTCAGATATATCTGTTGTCACGTCATCAGAAGTTTAGGATAGTTTGGTTTGACCAACATTTACATGCACCGTCTTGAAATAATTTGAGACGAAATATATATTGCGTTACGCTTCCAGAATCCATACATCTTCATTTATCGGAAACAAGTCTTTAACTGGAGTTCCACCATGCATCTTTTCACGCAGAGTTCGAAGAATGGAATAAGCGTTTTGAATTATCATCAGGTCACACTCATTCCCATCTTTTAGGTGGGTTCATAGTAGGCTGTTTCAAGAAAATCAGATTATCCCATCCTCCTGCATCCATAAGCTTTCTCAGCACATCTGAAAACAAGTGTGTTATTGCACTGACTTATTCTATCCGGTCGAATTTTACTCCAGTTTACATCCGCCCCAGTGAGTTCGATGCTTCACTTAGTTGAATTAGTCATTAATATATTTTGTTTTCGAAAAACCTTCGTATAGTTGCACTTGCAATTAGTAACAAACAGAAGCGTCTGACGTCTTCCAGTCAAACATGTGTATCTAACTAGTTATATAAAATAGGGTGGCGAAATTAACTCCAATAACTACCATTTCTCGACGGCTATTGGTAATCGCAATTTGGTAAGCACAATCAGATAGCATGTAAATACGTGTCCACACAGTAAGTTACTGACTAATTGGTTGGTTCGATTTGTGCAAATTTAAATATAAAGCCTGACTTTAGGCGAATCATTTGAAAAGTATTCATGTATCATTCTGATGTATTTTGAAGCTCAGATAAATCCTTATCTATCATATTCTTAATTGCGTCGTCCAATCCACGGTTTCCCGATAGCAAGTACCAAGTCCGTTAAATATTTCGTAAACACAAAAGTCTGGCTACGGATTAGTCCTATATGTCATATAAATCTGTCAGTCGAAAACAGAAAAGGTAGGAAATTGTTATATTAGTCAGTAGTCTAGATACGTTTATGTCGTCCTCAATTGTATTCTCGTTCAATGAACCTACACAATATCTGAGGTCGCCTGGGCTGTATTCTGAATACTAACTTAAGTCTAGCTGCATGGCTTGACATCGAAGCGAAACTTTCGCGAATACCTAACCATCTTGGCATTGATTGGGGTTTCTGCAACATAAAATTTCTTTTTTCATACAGCTCTTTCGCGCCTAAATGGAAATTTGAAGAACTCTGTTTATGATTTTGTCCACCGAGACGTTTTTCAAGTACCTGTTCTTTTGAATATTTTTGTTTGATAAAGTTCTAGTTTGTTAAATAAAACAGGCAATTAATAACTTTTTTTTCGGCCCAGAGGTTTGATGAATGAGACTGAAGCCGACACTGGAGACAGATTTTACTTCACCCACTGGTATTTAAGTAACTGCCGCATATCAATTGCAGCCCATAACACTGCACTTGGAATCCATTAATATAAGGATGAAATACGATTCCGTCAGCTGAGCTTTATAGTTATGGTCATTCCAAAAAGTGGTCCTTGTTAAGGAAATTACTTTGTTAAAAGTCTTCTAATTAAATTTATTCAGTAGTGCGAGAAATTGTAGGTCTGGTCTCTGATGGGACTGTTGACTACTGATCATCGTTTTCATTTGTCTTCCTTAGAAACTACCCGAACGTTTTATCACTCATCATATCGAACACCTGTCTCTTTTCTTCTTTTAGATAGTGGATCTGCATATCACTATAAGTTGAGACACTAAAATTTCAATTGCTTTCCATGCCATGATCAAGTTATTAAGTCTTGAGTAACTTTAGCTAAATTTCATACTTCCTATGTATTTTAAGGACATTTGAACTATTGATTTTTTTCCTCAACATGCTGGGAATATTTTAGAATTGTTTTAGCAGTTGTCTGATTGCAGTGTGAGAGCTTATGTCGGATTGTCGTATCTTCAATAACGGCTTTTAATGTTGGTGTCATATTTATTCCTCCTATACAGGACTGATCACTTATGAAATCACCTCCAGAGTTCACAATCACAGTCAACACATCTACGTCTGAAAACATCTATCGTGTTTAACTGTGTTAGCATTGTATAGGCTGTATGACATGTACTTGTTTTCAAATAATTGAAAACGTCTTTTAGTGATCACTGTTTGGAATGTCATTCAAATGAGCTGAATTTGGGTCGAAATTCCGGAATCATGTCACTTTAAATATCTTCTAGTTCATACACTTGATCAGTAAGGACTCAACTTATTATGTATTTGGCTGAAAGCATATTGCGTTAGCGACACATCGTGATCAGCTTCCGCTGGCGTGGTTATGTACAAGACTGCCGCTCCTTTTGGAGTACCTATCTGGACTCTGATCATGCCTTGGTCTGCGCCAATCTTACCGTACTTTTCAGTGGACAACGAAGTGACCGCAAGCTGGTTGCAACTAAGTAAGTATCGAATCGAGCTAGCTTCTAGGCTAGGTACCATTCCACCGAAAAGTATAGATGAGCGTTGGTTGCAATTGCATGACGCCATGAAAATGGCGGGTACAGTCAGTTGTGGGTTTGCGAAACGTCCCGCTTTTAAGCACTGGGTTTCTTCTGGTTCCTTACAACTCATTGAAGCCCGTCGGTCTACTCCGGGTGACCGTGAGTTTGACCACAAACGAAGGTTGTTACGTAGTGAAATTGGGCAAAGCTTGCGTAAGGATCGAGAAGCCTGGTGGTCGGAGCGTGCTAATGAGCTGGAAGCAGCAGCTGCATCTGGTAACTACCGGAAGCTCTCCCAACTCATCCGAGCCACTGGCAGCAAGAAGTCTGGTGTGAGAGAAACAATCTGTGAGGATGACGGGATGCCAGTCACTAACACCCATCGACGTCTTGGACGATGGGCAGAATTTATCGAAGGGCAGTTCAACTGGCCTGCTGCTCCGGCAACATCGGTCAGACTGTCCTACCCTCCATGGCCGGTGATGACTGATCCACCAAATGAGGCGGAAGTCCGCAAGGAACTCCAACTCTTGAAGCGCTACAAATCACCTGGCCCAGATGACTTACCTCCGGTTCTTTTTAAAGATGGTGGTGACTTTCGGGCTAAGGCATTGACGACGTTGTTTACAAAGGTTTGGGAACTAGAGAGTGTACCAACGTCATGGAATGAGTCGATAGTTGTCCCTATCTTTAAAAAGGGTTCACGTCTTTCCTGTAACAACTATCGGGGGATAAGTCTACTTCTGATTGCGTCCAAGCTATTGGCATCCGTCATACTTCATAGGTTGTTCAAAACCCGAGAAAGATTGACTCTCGAGGAGCAGGCTGGGTTTCGTTCTGGTCGAGGATGTATTGATCATATCTTCACCCTTCGCCAAATGTTAGAACACCGCCATACTTATCAAAGGCCAACAATCGTAGTGTTTCTTGACATCAGGGCTGCCTTCGATTCGTTGGATAGGACTGTTCTCTGGGATTGTCTATTGAAGAAGGGTGTGTCTGAGAAATTTATTAACATCCTAAAAGCCCTATATACAAACACCTCAGGCAGAGTGAGGACATACAACCACCTCTCTCCATTGTTCCATTCGAGCAGTGGGATTAGACAGGGTTGCCCGATCTCACCATTCCTCTTCAACTTTGCCATCGATGACATTCTGGAAACAGCTCTGATGGATGTAAGTAATGGTGGTGTGGATCTGTTGCCTGGAGAAAGACTTCTCGACCTGGAGTATGCGGACGATATTGTCTTACTGTGCGATAATGCCCAAGGCATGCAATCCGCACTTAATCAGTTGACAATCAGTGTCCGTAGGTATGGTATGTGCTTTACACATTCGAAGTGCAAAGTACTTCTACAAGACTGGCAGGATTCCAATCCTGCACTCACCCTGGATGGTGAGCAGAGAGAAGTAGTCGAGAAGTTCGTGTATCTAGGTAGCTGCATAAGTGCTGGTGAGGGTGTGAGTGATGAGATCAATGCACGAATAGTGAAAGCCAGAGCGGCTTATGCCAATCTGGGCCATCTTTGGCGCCTTCGTGATGTTAGTCTGGCTGTAAAAAGTCGGATCTACAACGCGTCGGTGAGAGCAGTTTTACTCTATGCTTGTGAAACCTGGTCTCTCCGAGTTGAGGACGTTAGACGACTCTCTGTGTTCGATCATCGCTGTCTTCGAAGGATTGCTGACATTCAGTGGCAACATCATGTCAGTAATGCAGAGGTTCGGCATCGTGTGTTCGGGCACAGAGATGATGATTCAATTGGTGTCACCATCTTGAAACACCGACTTCGGTGGCTCGGACATGTTCTCCGAATGTCGTCCCAGAGAATTCCACGTCGTGCATTATTTGCCGACTCTGGGACTGGCTGGAAGAAGCGGAGAGGTGGTCAGTGCATGACATGGTGTCGTGGTATGAAAGAAAGCTGCAAAGGGCTGGCTTGTGTCGGTCCTTCACGACTCCCTGTTTGGGGTCCGAGAGATGGTACAACACAGTGGCTAGAGACGTTATCAGATATGGCTCAGAATAGAAGCCAGTGGCGATCCTGCTGTAACCTTCTTTTACTTTCTTCATAAAAAGTGGTTGTGTCTCCCTTACCTGAAAGATTTCTTCCGATTGTACCTTTCCGTTCCCTCATTACTAGCACATTACCTTACACCAATCTCTTCGTTATTGTTTTTTTAGTATTTTTTTACGTTCCCCACTTTTTTCTTCTTAAATTCTCATTGTTTTGTGTGGCGCATATATATTGGCGCTCTCTTGTACCAATATTTATGTGTTCAAATAAAATAAATAAAATAAACGTATGACTTATAAAGATCCCATTCGGAATGTAATTACGGCATACGGCATTTGGCAGCAATGAATGAGGTTATGATGATGAATTGCCACATTAAGATACAAGTCATTTACATGATGTTTTACATCTGACATGCATTTTGAGACAGATCCAGAACAAATAATAATATTCCTATGTTTGCATAACTCCTTTATCAATCTACGTTACTTCATGAACAGATTTAGGGTTGGCATAATAATGTCTATTTTCAAGTTTTGATAAAGCGAAATTCATTTCGCCACATTATTTTATTGTATTCAGTTTACTGTTTAGTTATTTGTTGGTTGCTCCTGTCATAAAACTATCTTCAATATTGAGATGAGATGCAGTTTCGATTTTGTTTCTTCATTTCCGTATTACTTGTCGTCTACTTCAACGGGTAATGTTATCAGGTGAAGGAATGAGTTTAGAAGAATCTATAGAGTAACCAAAATGTGCCACCAGTCTACGAAGTTATTGATCCCGGAGCTGAGTCATGTCGGTATGTACAGACAATGTGGTTGAAGTTCGCTCAATAACCTTAGTCAGTAGTTGGAGAGGTTGGTTAACCTGACTCAGAATCAACCGCAATGACGTACATGGATCTATTTCATGTTTCTCTAAATCTTGACTCTCAACATTCCTTGTCTTTCCGAACTATATTCCCTTTATTTAGTCTTTCCTGTTATCACCACTACTATATTATATTTAATTCATTTACTACTTATATTGTTATCTATATATGCTCTTTCTAATGTATTTATTCATTTTAATGCATGAGCATTGGTACTATCAGGCACCAAATATATATGCGCCACACTTCGTCATTCGATTTGTGTGAGGGCTAGGATACTGCCCATACGCCCAGATCGAAACAGGTGGTTTTCTCAGGGGACCAATTTCCGAGCCTTCGACCTAAAAATCTGATCCATAAGGCAGTGGAGCAACATCAGGAGATGCAGTCCCATGGTTCCTGGTGACCAGCAATTGGTTCATACGTCATTCGTTTCATCAGGATCCTAGAGCCCATGTGACCATTAGTTTGGAATAAGGGTTTTTCAACTTCCCCAGGTGGACCCTCCGTATCCACCAACCCGGTTAAGGCGCCGGACATCCGCTTATCGTCCTCCCAATTTCGTGAACAACAGTAATGCTGCGAGAAGACAGTGAGTAGGACTTTCTTGTCAATGGTTGTATACGCGTGACTATGTGAGGGCGTTTCGTGAAGGAGAGCGATATCTCTCCACGAAGATATTTGAGAGCTTTGTTAATGTAGTTTGGCGACTTGTATTGACGCGCATTTGTTCCATGCTCTATGTTGATTATAATGGACTAACTGACTACCTGTCAAAGTAATCTTTTGTACAGAGCTACATTCCGGTAGGGACTTCTTTAGCACTTAACATTGGACGAATCTACCTTTAGAGTGCATCATCCCCATTACTTTGGATAATCTTGTCTTAAAAGTCAAACTCATAATCATTTTAATGCTTCTTAATGAACTTGACATTTTCATATTTAGTGTTGAAATGTCCCAGACGAAGTTTTGTGTCCAATAAGAAAATTGCTGACATAATTGGGAAAACGTGTTCTTTTCTAATTTCACGTTTAATATCTACCTTCATATTAAAACTGTAAATACACATAAGTGTTAATTGCATGTTGCTGACACTTCTGAATTACTTTTTGTGTTTGAAAAAATAAACATCAAAAAGAAGATTCTCTTCACAAGATTGTTGTTATGTAGGTTTATAACAAAAGAGTTAAATGAGCTAATTTTTCAACATCTTCAAATAAATGTGTTTGTAAATATAAAGTGCTTGAAACATGTGCTATGCAAGTTCAATCATTTTTTCTTCAGTAGGTGATAGCTGGATTTAAAGGTAAGTTTGGAAATGTTTTCTAAGAGGTGAAGGTAAAACAAGGCATTTAAAAAACCAATAGTATTTGTCAAATTATTATTAATAGCATAACTAGATGCAGGTTAGAATCCATCGTCTCATACTGTCGCTTTTGTCAATGGTACTTCAGATAAACTCTGGGGAGTTTGTTTATGCTACAGAAGCCCTGTACTCACGGAGTTACATCCCTCGATCATTTTTGTCATATTTCTTTTACCAATTTGATGATTTTTTTTTACCGCGAAATTTAGTACCTGAACACATTCTTCCCGACCATGGGCCGCAAATATCCTTCGGAAACGCCTCGCAGTGCCATGCGTGGCCAGTGTAATGGATCTAGTGTCTTGGTACAACGCACACATAAATCACCTTCATTAGAGTGCAGTGCAGATTGGTTTAAACAAGAAATCAAATGTCAAATGGAACGAGGTGGTTTATTTGAGGATCCATTTATGCCTGCTACCGACTCAACTATCAAATCAGGATCTGGATCGAGTAAACAAAGTTACAGATGGCTGAGACCTGTTGTAAGTCATCTTTATGTTGATTTTACTATTCATTAACTGTATGTTTTCTATTATTAACTCTTGTCCTTCATATATCACGAAGTAACCTGATCGATGTTAGTATTTTTAATAAACTTATAGTGAATATCGATTAGACGGCTAATGAGACAGAACGAACAAAGTGTTATCTCCATAAATTCCAATTCTGTGGTTCGTGAATATGTGTTCGGACGTAACAATGTTAATTCTATTGGTGTTGTCACCTTGAAACACGAACTTCAGTCCCTTGAACTTGTGCTACGAATGTCATTCCAGCGACTTTCATATCGTTCGCACACTACTGTTTCTGGGATGTGGTGGAAAAAGTAGAGAGGTGGTCTGGTAATGACATGATACTGTGGTATAAAAGAAAGTTGTATAGGACTGGTTTCTGTCGTTCCATCACGACCCCCTGGTTGGGATTTTACTTTGTTGCTTGAGATGTTACCAGACATACACCAGGACAGGAAACAATGAAAATCCTGCTGTAGTCTTCTTATTACTTACTGTACTTAAGCCTTTTGCCCGTCTGGACGCACAGGCCACTGACCAGATATCTGTAAGAACAACTGTCTTGGTCGCTCCCGTTCCCAGTTGGCGCTTATCATAAATTTCTTTTACATTCTTCGTAAAAAGTCGGAAAGAACTCACTTAACTAAGAAGTTTGTGGTCGTAGTTTTAACAGAACTGTCAATCCCCACCTTGTGTTACTTTCGTTCATTTGGAACTGCCGCACAAAATTTTATAAATTGGACAATTAGTGTACAGTATTTCTGAAATTCATATTAATAGAAAGAGATTTCATAAAGGATTATGTAACTTTATAGTGTGTATCTGAGTTACATGTGCTTAAACGTTGACTGAAACATTTCTATTTAGCTTGTATATCCCAATAAAGTTCATTCAAAACTACAGTGGGATCCAGAATACGAGTTTCGTCTTATTTGAGACTCGTTAGCTAGATGTACCTGCATTCCAGAGTTGATGTTCATTCTGAGATTCGAACCCAGTACCATTCGCTTCAAAAGCCACCGAGTTATCCACTTAGCTACTGATTCACGATAGCCACTTTCTTTTTCAATGGGGTGAAGTTTAAATTCATTTTGTATTGTTTATTTGAGTCTTTCCATTGATGTTCAGGACTCCCAATGAGAGAGTGATCATTTATAGTCGTGAATACTTTCACTGATTTCACACACTAAATATCGTTCAAAAATCAAAGAAAAAAATCTAATTTTTATTTATTCTAGTTATTTTTATGGGTTCTTTTAATATTCTTAAGTTGTTTCTTTTTAATATCAAAATTATGGGTAAGAAAACTTCTTTTGCGTATTAATAATGCATGTGTCTTTTTTTAAAACAAAAAAATTATTGTTCATATGTGTTACATGTGCATGAATTATGCAATAGATGAACTTTGATTATTCACTATTCAGGAACTTAGCAGGTGCCCACGTTTTGTTGCAGATGGAGTTAGTCGCTTCGATATTAAACAAGGTGAACTTGGTAAGTTTACATTATTATAAATATGGTCGATTTTTTTATAAATCAATACCTTATTAATATATGCTTCTGAATAATTTCTAAAGAAATATTACTAGATCCTACCAATATAGAAACGTTAAAATTGACAATCAAATGGTTACCAATCAATTTTCGGTGATAAGATTAAATACTGTGATACTGTGGGTTAATCAGATTCTGGCCAAGATGAACCTTCCTTTTCCAAGAAACATGACGCACCATTGGTTTAACATGTGGCTTAAGCGAAAAAAAGTGATTTTGAAAACCTAATTACTTACTTACGCCTGTTACTCCTCGTGGAGGAGCATAGACCGCTCACCAGCATTCTCCATCCAACCCTGTCCTGGGCAATCCTTTCCGGCTCCTTCCAGTTGTAATTCATCTTTCATATCTGCTTCTATTTCCCGACGTAATGTGTTCTTTGGCCTCCCTCTTTTCCGCTTCCCTTCAGGATTCCAAGTTAGGACTTGCCTCGTGATGTAGTTTGGCGATTTGCGTAATGTATGTCCTATCCATTTCCATCGTCATTTCTTAATTTCTTCTTCAGCTGAAAGCTGGTTTGTTCTCTCCCAGAGAAGGCTGTTTCTGATGGCATCCGGCCAATGGATATTAATTATCCTGCGTAGACAACTATTTATAAATACTTGTACATGTTTGATGATGGTTGTAGTAGTTCTCCAAGTTTCAGCTCCGTACAGTAGAACTGCCTTGACGTTCATACCGAAGATTCTGACTTTGATATTGGTTGAAAGTTGTTTTGAGTTCCATATGTTCTTCAATTGTAGGAATGTGGCCCTTGCTTTGGAGCCGGCCTATTCAGGAGTTCCTCGAAGTATTCTACCTATCTGTTCCGCTGCTGTTGAATTTCAGTGGTTGGCTTGCCTTCTTTGTCTTTGACCGGTCTCTCTGGTTTACTGTATTTCCCTGCTAGTTTCTTCGTTGTATCGTCAAGCTGTTTCATATTTCCTCTTGCAGCTTTTTCCGCTGTCGTTGCTAGTTCTTCCACGTACTTCTTCACTTGCTTGTTTGCTTCTATGTACTCAGCTTGTGCTTGGACTTTCTCTGCTCGTGCTCGGCTGTTATTAATTGCTGTCTTCTTGTTCTTCCTTTCTTTGATCTTGTCCAGTGTTTCTATAGAGATCCATTCCTTATGATGGTGCTTCTTTAGGTCCAGAACCTCTTGACACGTTGGAGTTAATGCTTCTTTGATACTTTTCCAGTTGTCCTCCATAGTAGTTTCTTCTTCCTTCAGTAGATCCTGTAAGGCTTGGAACCTGTTGTTGAGAGCTATCTTGAATTCGTTGAGTTTGTCAGTATCTCGAAGGAAGGCTGTATTGAACCTTTGTATTGCTGTTTGTCCACTTGTCCAGTTCTTTTTTAGCTTCAGTTTCAAATTGGCTACAACTAGGTGGTGATCTGAAGCTACGTCAGCACCTCTCCTGGTTCTCACATCTTCCATTGTCCTTCGGAATTTTTGTTGATGCAGATATGATCTATCTGGTTCTTTGTAGTGTGGTCCGGTGAGATCCATGTAGCTTTGTGTATACATTTGTGTGGAAATATTGTGCCTCCTATGACCAATTTATTGAATGCACACAGATTTGCAAATCTTTCTCCATTTTCGTTTCTCTCACTCAGTCCATATCGTCCCATGATATCTTCATATCTCTCATCAGAATGGTGAGGTCGTTTCTTGGGCACTTCTCTATGATTGACTGCAGCCGCTCGTAGAATTGATCTTTAATGTCGTCGTTGCTATCATTAGTGGGTGCATAACATTGGATAATGTTCATTGTGATCCCCTCCTTCTTTGTTTTGAATGATGCTTTGATGATTCTGGATCCGTGAGATTCCCATCCTACAAGTGCATTTCGTGCTACTTTGGACAGCATTAGAGCAACTCCCTGAGTGTATGGAGCATTTTCCTCTTCGTAACCGGAGTATTGTAGCATCTCTCCCGTATTTAGCCTTTGTTGTTCAGCTTGGGTCAAATGGGTTTCTCTGATTCCCAGTATTGCCAAGTTGTATCTCCTCATTTCCGTTGCTATTTGACCGGCCTTCGCGGTCTCTCACATTGTTCGGACGTTCCATGTATCTATAAAAATGTTTGCTCTGGTTGTTAGAAGGGGCATCGGCCTCGTGGCTTCCGAAGGAACTCGGCGTTCACCATGAAGCGTCATAATTCTTCTAAATGAAGACCTAACTTTCAGGGCAGAGTTTAAATAGTTTGAAGTATTATTTCTGGCAAGCGTCTTTTTGACGAGTTAGCTTTCTACGGGACGGGGTCGCTAACCCCATGCCCAGATTGGTGAAATTCCGATTGTTTTACACCCACTAAAATTAACATTGTAGAAGTGGTTCAATAGACAAATTGGTAACTTATTAGTTAGTTAAAGAACGCAAAATATAACCTCACTATTATGAATAAAATAATAGTTTTGAAAACCCTAAACAAATTGAGTTAAATAGTTTCAATATTACCCTGAAGAAGTTCTAACCAATGTTATCTTATGTCGTTAACATTCCTGTTGTACGAAACTGTTCAATCAAACTTCGACTGTATTCAATGTTCTTATTAAAGCAAACTGTTGTGTTGTTATTTCATCATTAAACCATCACCCCTAAATTTCTCTGAAAAAATTAGTTTTATTTAATTGCCAGTCGTTTAACCTTAATTTTGTTTCAGTCATATGTTTTACCAGTTAGTTTGGTAATTGCTCAATTGTATCCGATAGTTTATGGCGAAAACAATCAAACCAGGAGATTCACCGTTATCTACTGGTTCGTTCGGATTCAAATGACAGAGCATTAATATTAGTGCGACCATCAGTAATAATAGTAGTGTTCATCATGTGATATCATTGTGTATTATTGTTTTGTTTTTGTAGGAAACTGTTGGGTTATAGCTGCCTTGGCCTCATTATCAATGTATCCAGAATTATTTAATCAAGTAAATAAGAATTTACTTGGACTCATTCCTTTTTTATTGTGTGGGTTATCTTGTTTTTTAAATTTTATTTAACCTATTAATAGTCAAGATCCTCAAATACAACACGGAGAGCACCAACCTAATCACACTTGATGGAGAAGCTCTGAAAGATATAGAATCATTCACGTACCTGGACAGCATCATCAATAAATAAGGAGGATCCGATGTAGACGTAAAGGCGAGGATTGGCAAAGCAAGGGTCACATTCCTACAACAGAAGAACATATGGAACTCAAGACAACTGTTAACCAATATTAAAGTGAGGATCTTCAATACGAACGTCAAGACAGTCCTACTGTATGGAGCTGAAACTTGGAGAACTACTACAGCCATCATCAAAAAGGTGCAAGTATTTATAAACAGTGGTCTACGTAAGATACTCAATATCCGTTGGTCGGATACCATCAGCAACAACCTACTGTGGGAGAGGACAAACCAGGTTCCAGCTGACGAGAAAATTAAGAAAAGACGTTGGAAGTGGATAGGACATACATTACGGAAACCACCAAGCTGTATCACCAGGCAAGCCCTAACTTGAAATCCTGAAGGGAAGCGGAAAAGAGGGAGGCCGAAGAACACACTACGTGGGAAGTTGGAAACATATATGAAAAGGATCAATAGTAACTGAAAAGAACTGGAATAGATTGCCCTGCACGGGGTTGGACGGAAAATGCTGGTGAGCGGCCTATGCTCCTCCACGAGGGTTAACAAGCGTGAGTAAGTAAGTAAATAATACTAGTCAAAGATACACTCAGTGAAACAGATTACGATTTGCTTAACCACGGTTAATTTACCCAGCGAGAATAATTTTAATACTATACTGTATAATGTTATACAGTGGAGTTCAATCACTTGTTTTCGGCTTGTACACAAGTATCAAATGGACTGGTGGGAAACATATGGAATAGAGACATATCCAGTCATAGAGTAGTATTTAGGGTTTGGTATTATAATATTAAAAGTCTAAGAGTTTTACTCTCCATGACGGTCACGATTCAAAGAACTATAATTATTGTTTGTTATTGTATTAGATCTTCCTAAAGCTATTTGTGCAGATATTGAAACTATTTCAAAACGTTATGTACATTTCACACTAGTACACCGATATATGCTTTATGCCTAGAAGCCAATTTCTAGATGTAAATAACTTCAATCTTTCATTTCTAAAGCAAGATGATCATAATAATTGTGATAGCATATATTCCTCTATTGAATAATTCCAGTCAAGGAGAAAACAAAATCCCAAAATAGTTCTATATTTAAAATGATATCATTATCGTAATTATAATTTCAAGAGCCAATCAAATATGATGTTCAATCTTTCTTGATTTTTTGCAATGCATACATCTCAAAATTTCCAAAATGCTTTAACTATATTCATTTCAATAATTTTTTTTTACATAATTACACACTAATAATCAACTTTCTTGAAATAATGAAATATCCATAATCAAATTATGCAAGTCTTTTGTTTTGATTATTTTTAAAGGTTCGATCAAATAGTTACATTGAAAGTGATCAGTTTTATTAAATAGAATCATCTAAGTTATAATTATCCAATTGATTTGAAAAAAAAAATAATTGAAATGGCTAGATTGGTCAAATCAACAATTTACTGATAGGATTAATGGTTACCAAATACATTTTAAAAGATGTAAACACCCTGATCAGTTGACTTTTTTTCTAAATATACTTTAAAATCAGAAAAGAGTTTTGTAGAAATTTTGATAATTTCATAGTTGAATTCATGAGTCAATTAAAGCTAGATCATCATTGAAAACGTGGAAGCACTGGACGGACGTTTCGTCCTAGTATAGGACTCTTCAGTAGTGCGCATCCACGATCCCGCTCGTGAAGTTCTGTTGTGAGATAATAATTCATTGAAGAAAATGGTGGACGGTGGCGCAATTTCGTGGATTGGTTGAAGCTAGACATTAAAACAGTTGGATTCCAGCTTAGTGATCTAGAGGTTAAGCGTTCTCGCGCGAGACCGATAGGTCCCGTGTTCGACTCATGATCTCAACCAATGAAAAACGTTCTTGACAATAATATAACAAAGGTACCAGTAAATGCGCTAAACACACATACATAATGGAAAATAAGAATATTGTCAAGAATGAGAAGTGAGAAAGTCATTCAATGAAAATAAAAGAACAGACATTTAGTAAACATTACAGCATACAGTTTCATTAAGAATATAATTAACACTCATTCCATTCATTTACAACGTCCCTTTTATTATTTTTGTAAAATGGCAATAGAAATCTTAAAGCCGGATCATTATCGGGTCTTATTCTGAACCACATCTGATAAGACTGCATGACACTAGATTGTACCAGCTTTAAGATTCCATCCAATTAGTTGTGACAATAAAACCAATCATAATCCAACTCAATTATCGTATAGTCGACTACTCCACATAACAAGCTAATCTTATCTGTCCTTTTTCCATTCAGTCTCAACATGAATGTTCGATGTTAGACAGTTATTCACTACAAGTAATGGAAGATGGTTACTCATTATGCTGAATTGATTGAAGTTAAACAGTTACACCATTAGATGCTAGTTCAGTGACCCAGAATTTACTCGTTTGCTCTGGAAATCAGTCTTGGATTCGATCCCTTGTGATGGGGTCGGGGTCAGACACTGCTGAGCAATCCTATATCAGTTTTTGATTTGAAAATCCTTCAACCTCTACAAATCTCACTATACCAAAAACAATCCATAGTTTGGAAATCGCTATATGGCATAAGTAAAATATATCCAAAGCACTAAAACTTATGAATTAAGATAATAAATCATCAATTCCACACACGTAGCCAGACTTCATTATTCCTTAAATGTCCTCACTGAATCTAAGTAATCCTCTGAAAACAACAATAATGAAATAGTCAATGGATATTGTCAACTCAAACAGTACACATTTTGAGAGTTGTGACGTAGGAATACTCAAAAATATACACATGGTAACACCGTTTTTTATTCAGACAAAGCGATAGTCAGATAAACAATAGAAAGATGACTCTATTTGATTGTTTTCCTAATTTCTGAGTTGTTTTAATCAATTATTGAGTTATTTGTTTATAAACTATGGTTGTGATGTACAGATTTATACATCTGACTTAAAGTCTGTCAGACATGAGCACGTCAGGATTTCGTACACGTACCTCGATTTATGAAACTAATTCATATATTCAATACCACACAGATTTTTACATTACATTAAATTGAATTATTCTTTTAAAACAATAAAAATGTTTATTTTTCCTCTCCAAAAAAATAAATAATGCACTTGAAGGTTGTCCCACCTGATCAATCATTTGAAAAATCATCAAAATATCCGTATGTGGGAATGTTTTGGTTTCGATTCTGGCAATTCGGTGATTGGTACGATGTTGTTGTAGATGATCGTTTACCAACTCGTAATGGACATTTAGTATTTATGCATTCCTCAGATCCTAATGAATTTTGGTCAGCTTTATTAGAGAAAGCCTATGCTAAGTCAGTCATTATAATAATGACATTACTATTATATTGATTGTTCTTTATAATGATTAGTCCGGAAAGGTTTTTGCAGATTTAATTTTTTTAATTTTATTTGAATGGTATTCAGTGGGAACATGTAGATAAAGGCTATCAAAAGATAGTAGTGTATGTCCTCCTACTTTTCTGAGTCCTTCACAATTCAGTTCAATCGATTAACTTACAAGTGACTATCTACTGGAGCTCAGTACAAAAAGCACATGTATGAAATTGATGTTATATTTATACCTATAAAACTATGAAGTTTTAAGATGCCATATAACTGGAAGCTGAATCGATTTGGCACTTCACACTAAATAAATAAGTTCAAGTAGGATGATCACGTTTTAGGTTTCGTATACATGCTTCATAGACTGCATAAACCCACTCATTCCACTGGGTTCTGAAATCTTGATAAATGACATTTGTATCCCATTTAAATATGTGGTTCGAATAGTATGTACTTCCTCGTATAGTTAGATTTGTAGACCAGACATAGAACTTTGTAGGCTCGAATCGTCAGCACTATTTGCAAATGTGATGTAAAAAAATAGAAGTTACTAACAGGAACAGAGATAACAAAAAGGGTAACAAATCGGTTTATAAGGTAGTGAATTTTTATCGATTCAGGTGATTAGAACATGCACTGTTTGCCTAACCACCGCTTACCTCTATGAACAATGCTCGCCAGTTCACAAGTAGGTTGGAAGAAAGCTGGGGAGAGCCGAATCATCCCATAAAGTCATTTACTCTTGGTCTGAGCCGTGTAGGTAGACTTAAACTACCTGGTTAAGGTCTGCTTGATAACCATTGTCAATGATTGGGTGATATAGCTAAGAGTCGTACTCAATGGTGCAGATACACTAACTCTTTATCTTCCCCTCAATCTGAACTTCCAGTTTCCTTTCATCCATACCTTTCCACATTCCCAATGATTAGTCTGTCTTCTCACTAATGCGGCTACTTTATTTCGATTGCTTGTTGTTTTCATTTTGCCGTGTTAATGTGGTATGGCAACTTGGGTGAAACATTTGTGCCAGGCTCTATGTTGATATTATCTATCTGACGAGGAAGAGATTCAAATAAGAAAACTCCATTTAACCTGTTACTAGATCTTTTGAATCGGAGTTTTGACTAACTACCTTTTTCGATTGGCAAACTGTTTACGGATGAGTCCTCCAATTCTACTGACTATGATTTGGTAGATTTTACATTAATAAAGGATTCACATGATTTTGTACTTATTCCTTAACTTTCTGATGTGATACTGAGCTTTCGTTGCTTTTTATCCTGTTAAGACTTGTGTCGTCTTATGATGCGCTTCGTGGTGGGTGTACAGCAGAAGCAATGGAAGATTTCACTGGTGGTCTTACAGAACTTGTTGATTTAGGTGCGAAAGCTCCTACTAATATATTCGGCATTATGGAACATGCATTGAATCGTGCCTCTTTAATGGCTTGTAGTATTGATGCTGATCCACATGAGATTGAAGCGAATGGTCCGTTAGGATTAATTCTTGGTCATGCCTATTCTGTAACCGATATACGACAGGTAAATTTCTTTTGTAATAAATGTGTAATTGGTATTTCTCAATATATCTACATCCTTATTGATGCTTATCAATTTATGTACATAAAAATGTTTAAGTCAATGAAGGATCTTGAATTCACTACAGATTCATATTCATACCGGCGCATCGCAGTCATGATTTCCACAAACTTCTTAAGGTTCACGTTCAGAATACTCACTTGTATATTCCGAACATTCAGACGTGTTGTAAACACGTCTGACTATTCAGCCCACGTATATCACCCATTTAATAAATTCATGAGAACTGGTAACGTTTTTGCCTCAAGCACAAGAAATTTGGCTGCTTATATCGCTGCACATCAAATTATGTGGAAAATGTTCAGCCTGAGTTGAAGAAAGAAAGTATAATTGGTAATTTATTCTATCTTGGTAATTAGGAAGTGATGGTGTGTTTTGCAATATATAGACGAAAGAAAGAGTTACAAAAAACATTGACAATTGAATATGTGTTACTGTTTAATTTGCTGTTTTGTTAAATGAAACTATGATTCATATTAAAAAGTTATAAAATCTTTAAGAAACATTTAGTAATAAGTAAACATAATCTTCTGGTTTGTGTATTTTGATCTATCAGACATCTAATAATTTTTAAATGTTTTTATCATTAAGTTCCAGTTTTTTATAGTTTCATTTGTGCTCATTTATTGCGTAAACTTCAACTTGTATGGTTGAACCTATTAATTGATAATACTGAACGTACCTCTTTAATGACTGACATAATTTGAATAGATTTTGTATGGTTAAAGTTGTACGCTGCTATTTTGAACGGACAATCATCAATGTTGGATTAATACTTTAGGGACTGTACACATCCTAACGTTTGGTTTACTTATACATATTTAGTTTATCGAATAATGATTATGGTAATAAAACACCTGACCAGTTTCTTCATAGAGTTTTAGACATATCAACTGTGTGCGTGTTGTCCCGACCGTTGCTGCTACCTTGACGTGGTAGTCAGACTGCCTATCGCGATGAACCAATCGGGCTATACTGGCTGGAACAATCGTTCCCCAAGGTCCTACCATGTCGGACAGATCTGTTGAAGAGCGGTAAGACTAAAAGCAGCAAACCCAAGGTTCGAGGGTAAAGTCGTACTGCTGACTGTACAGAGGTGTGACGGCAGTAAGGTCTTTCCCTTAGACAGCCAGCGTAACAGCAATGCTGCCTCCCCACAGGAAAGAGTGGGGTTACGAAAGGTCGACCCTAGAAATGCACCCCTCGCCTTATCCCACGAATATCCGTCTCCGGAGATAAGATTTGGACAATTACGGGGCTAACACACAAACTACTCACAAGAAGGTCATGTGTGATGGGCCTCAAGCAGTTATCCCTTGGACACTGCGGACACGCTCCCAGGTTACTAAGACCAATTCCAACCCGATTCCCTTTTCAGGTACTTCTAGAAAGACCCTTCACGGTGTAGGCAACCGGGAACTGATAACCTCACTCATACATCTAACAGCACTCAAGATCACAGTATTGTCTGTGTGTATTGTATTCCTTATTATCTATAACTTGTTAACCAATCAAATTGAAAACAAGAATATATTGAGTTACAATTTATATCCCAAGACAGAAACTAGAGCGATTGTATACAAGCTTAAATCCAAGCGTTGTATGTAATATAACCAATACCGAAAAATCCAAATATATGTACAGCGTCATAATTTCATCATTTTTGTCAGAGTCTAAGTCCTTGGATTACTTCAAAAAGAACTAATCGAATTACATAAATCATTTTCTTACCGTGCAATCTCTAAAGCTAAATCCTTAAGGTTTGTTGCTTCCTATATCATTGTGTGTGTACGTTAGGCTACATGCGAAATGAATGAAGGTAACTAGCTCGAATTTTCCTACTAAATCTCTTCTATTTTACCGTAGAAGACCTATTTCTATTTCATTATTACTATGAATGGATGAATATTTTGAAACTTGGCCTACTTTTACGGTGTATATTCTTATGTACCCCGTGTATATTTCGATTTTATTTTTTGCTAAAGCTGAGCTTAAAATGCTTGTTACCTATCAAAATTCAGTTATGTACTGTTTTCATTTTGTTTCTTAAAGCTAGACTGATTTTCCCTTGAACTACATAGGTGGGTGGTAATGCATACGCACATTTATGTACGCTTGCATGCTTACACATAGAAATATATATATATATATGTGTGTGTGTTTATGAGTGTTTATTGCCAGATTTAAAAGATGGTTTCATTTAATTGTATCAAAATATGTATTGTAATAATTAACCTTTTATTGCGCACACTACTCGACAATTACCTTACATTGAAAAATTAATTACCTAACCAATTCAAAGTTTTGTTATGAACATATTGGTTAGATATGTTATGTGAAGTATTTGAAAATGTGAACAAATGAAATAATACATTGTATAGAACTAAATGACTTCATATCAGATATATTATCTTGACTTTCATATTAATAAAGCTAAATCATTAATCGAATTGGTGAATTAGCTGTTTGAACATAAGATTTCCAAACATTTCTTCTTGGTTTCGAACCCCGTTTGATTTGCTTAGGTTAAGGCTGACGGACAGGTGTCATCATATGCATATAAAATATCTCTCAAAACCAGTTTTATGTACAGTGTTGTACTTTTTCTTCTATATACACTTTCATTTGTATTTATATTCATTCACTGCTTATTTATTCTTCATTTGCATGTCTTTCTAAATATTTACAACACAATATCATATCATGTCATCGTTCCTACCTTACTACATGTTTATTGATAGCTAGTTTTTTGTTTATCAGTTTATATTGTTCCTGTTGTGATGTTTGCTTAGATTAAATGTATTTAGCAAATTTTATTTCACTTCTTCACCACTTATTTATACTTTTCCTCACTCATTCTCTTCCTAATAGCTTATATATTAAAATTTAGAGTCTTCCAAATGATCTTAAGTATTTTATGCGGAATTGGATAGGGCTTAGAAATGAAATTCGAGACATGCGTTTCATCGTATTTGGGACTTGTCAGCTGAATGTACATGCAGTCACCCAAACGCTCTGATACGGCCGAAGGTGGGGAAAGTCATCTCTCCCTCTCGAAATGCTCTCACATGGCCACGCGTATATAGCCTCTGCCAGGGAAGTCCTACTCACTGCCTTCTCGTGGTGGGAGTGTTGTTTACCGAAATTGAGAGGACGAAAAGCACTTTAACTGGGTTGGTGGACATGGAGAGTCCACCTAGGGAAGTTGGAAAACCCTGATTCCAAACCATTGGTGCACATGGGCCCCACGATCCTGGTGGAACAAATGGCGTATGAACCAATTATTGGTCACCAGCAACCATAGGACTGCATCTCCTGATGTTGTTCCACTGCCTTGTGGATCAGACCTCTAGGTCGAAGGCTCGGGGTGTGGCCCCTTGAGAAAACCATCTGTGTCGGTCTGGGCACCCGTGCAATATCACAGCCCACACACAAATCAAGTGGCTTGTGTGGTGCATATGTATTCGGTGCCCCTTTGTACCAATATTTATGTGTTGAAATAAATAAATAGATAACTCCAGACACCATTGTGTCATCCCCATAGTTGCTAAGTCCAGATAGCCACTGGTCCGCTAGCTGCTATAAGATGCAGGTACATATAGCTGATGAGCCTCAAATGGGGGAAAAACGTGCATCCTTGATTCCACTACTAGCTAATATTCAACTCTACTTAATATGCTTGTGACCTAATGGCAATATCAAAATAATCCACTCAGAATCCACATATCCAAAAATATGATCAACTGCAGTCCTAAACAGCAATGGTAGGGTTAAACGACCAATAAAAATGGAGCTTAGATGTGTTTATATATGTTATTTTAGTTGATTAGAAATATATAATTTATCTAATAAAACTACAAACTGAGGTCATGTGAATGCTAGTTTATAAAATATTTTGATTTGCATCAACCTAAACACTCCTTCAAAATATTTCCTTTCTGTTGCAAGTGCACATTTGTTCCGTCTTTATCTCCATTATGCCGAAACACACCTTGAAAGTTATACCATTTAATTTCTTTAACTTTCCAAACAATTTTCTCAACTTAAAATTTGTAGATAGAATACTTCATGTTAACAATTTTAATAATTCCGTTCATCACTAAGCATCTGAACATTAAATTGGCGTTTGGAAAGCACAGTCGGTCAGTCGCAATGCCGAACCTGTTACTTATGTACTTCGATCCAAGTTGTTGTACCCCACTAGTACAGCGAGATGAAATTATGGAACCAAAATCCTAGATTAGTAGAAGTATTAATAATATTAGTGGTAATAGAAAAGATCAGGCATCGAAGATAAGATTCTGGAAAAGATAAGTTAGCGAAATACAAACAAAAAGAAATGTGAGGAATTTAGATGCTTAGAATTCGGAGCGAAGACAATGAATGGATGCATCTGAGCCACTACAAACGATTTGAGTCATGTCACTCAAAGTCTGTAACCACTGATTACGATAATCACTCTGACTCCCAATCATATAATCTACACCTATTATTTTGGAAAGTACAGAAGACAGTAAATGTTCAATGTTTTTATCAACATAGAAAGTCGATGACGGTCTTAAACTTGTATCATCCTTACAAATTACTATTTACTTTAAAATTCCTTCTTATTCACATGACTATTACTATTACTATAGAAAATTCCTCGTGTTTGGACAAATATAATTACTATTATTATAACACCACAACTATCTAATCCACACGTAAAGATATGCTCTAATTAAATCAATCTATCATTGAAAAAAAACCAAACACTTTTTATTGCGTTTCGTAGTTGATTATGATATCAAATCCATGTGTACACTTTAGATTGACTTTCATTTATTTGCATTGCATATATATGATCTGAAACAAATTATATTAATGGTGATTTAGTGTTTTATCTTGACTAAAAATAAAAATATAATATGTTTATGTTGCTTAATAAATTTAAAATATTTACA